TTCTTTATCTCAAAGCAATAATGAATATCATGAAAACGAAAAATGTACGATAATACTTTGATTCGAAGAACTTATCACTGTTTTTCTTTGATTAGGATCAATCAAACAGCGAATCTTTGTTCAATATTATAAATCAACTACTTGTTCTTCATATAGCTCTTTTGATTCGTTTATCATTAGTTGATCGTCATCTTCCATCAAAATTTCCTTCAATAACATTTAGTTCCATATTTTCTCAATTGATTAATCAATTTCAAGAACATCTTACATGATGTCTATACTTATATTCTTCATTATTATCGTATTCAAAAGTAGTTGATATATTTGATGGACGACTTTTTGCTTTTACTCTCTATCAACTCAAACAATCATCATCAAAAATGAAATTTGATTTGAATACAATGGATATTGTCAAACAATGTTTGACTTTATTGAAATTTTAAATAAACGAAAATATTTTTTATAATATAGTAGAACAATTAATTCAATCAAAACATATTATATTTTCAACTTCAATATCTGATAGACAATTAGTGTCAAATGAAAAACAAAAAATTATTAAAATATCAAATTCATTTATTGATAATTATTTAAAACCAATATTTTCAACAAATAATCAATGGACATTTGATATTATCGATCGCGATGACAATTCTTCAGCTCGATATGAAGGTATAATTCTTTTTTTTTTTTCTTCATATATGTCAGATATTCTAAAAATATATATTTTTTTTTCATAGGAAAATATCATTGGCATGTATACAAAGAGGTATATTTGATAATTCTTAAGTATTATTTTACAAATCTATTCTTATTTTTAGGTTGGTGATGAGATAAGTCGTGTACGTAATAATGATGATGGATACAGAAATTCGAATAAATATCGTTATCGAACCAAAGGTCAACAAAGATTGTAAGACTGAACATTATGAGTTTTATTTTAAATGATTTCTAAAAAAGATCATGGATGAAATTTCCTAAGTTTGTGGATCACAAACACATTTGTCATACAACACAATAGAATTCAACTTAGGTTCATCTTGAACTACTATTCATTTCAGAAAAAGAGAAGTTTTGTGAGTATTTCTTGAGAATTTTTTGATTGAAACAGAACAGTCATTTACGGATTTGACCATTACAGAGGGAAGAGTTGTGGGGAAGGCATTAATTCTTGTTAGAAATTTTAAAAACGATACTATGAACCTATTTTACAAATGACCTTGATTGTTAATACGTTCATTAAAGACGAAACATTGTTTTCTTCCGATCTTCACAAGGTTAATATTGTTGGGTTATTTCGTTCAAGATTTATAAAAGTTTTTTTTTTGAGACTCTCGAGGTCAGTCACATGATTTGAAACTATCCGAAAAAGAATCTATACAGTGGCAATTCACCATACTGTGTTGAATGGCAGTATATATATTATTTGGATTCGAAATTATATGAAATTGTTATCTCAAGATAGATGACATGTGAACTTGTTACGCTACATAATAGAAAAATATAAAGCTTTAGGATATACCGAAATAATAGTTTCAAATCAATTTATATTCAAAATTAAATATTTTCATATGACTCAGAATGATGACTTAACCCTAATTAGATGCTTTTTTCATTGACTCCAACATGTTGTCTAAGTTCCTCTTTTGACATTCTTAAGTATCAATTCCCTACTTCAATTTTCTACTAAATGGAAAAATGCTGTGTTACGTGATTCAACACACAGAGATATTTTTCTTCATTTAGACCAAAACGTCCCAAACGATTTGAGTGTATCC